GGAGGTATGCGTCGGACTGGTTCACGTTGGCAAAACACTTATCACCGCTCAGTTTGGTAAAAATGTTTCCCTGTGATAGCGGCGGATACTGGTAGCCGTCAAGTACATTGTTCAGACCAATTAGAACTCGGCACAGACACGAACCTTTCCATTCGATTTTTTCGATGTGACAATTGGTAAAACCTGTGAAGTGTCATTCACTGGTATGATTACACCTGCTTGTTGTAGTTTTCCAAACTTCCACTTCACTGTTAGTAAGTACGTAGGCGCTACCGATCTTTTGGCTTTGAAGATTGGTTATGCTCCTGCACGCAAGCACAGTGTGGTGCCGAATTTCGTACAGTGACGGAAACCACCTTGAAACACTAGAGCGACCATTTTCTTTCGCGACAGTCAAGTCAAATCAAGATGGTGTGATGGCATTATCAGTACTTTGCACTAATACTGCGGATGTACTACAGCACAAGAGCAGTGGATAAAAATAGTGAGACTCGATAGAAACAGATTTCCTGTTTATTTAAGCAAACAGTCTCACAATTGATGCATCATTACTTTTGGGTCAAGCCAGAGCAGTGTTTAGCCGGTCCACGGGCGTCACGGTAACATCTTGTAAGATAACAGGTCGGTGAGGTTTGCTTCAGTTGTTGTTGTCGCTACCTCTTAGTTTCGCTTCCCTACGGTACGATTTCTCCTTCTTTCTTCGGTGCTTGTTTCGCTGCCTTCTGTAGATCAGCCTCTTACTAGGTGGTTGTGATATGAGCATCCAGTCATCTACGTGGTATTTATATTCCATTGCGGCTCACCGTACCATTTGGACACGGAAGAGCTTGGAACTCCGGACCGGATGAATATCACATTATGGAGCAAAGCAGAGTTGCGACATGACGAGGTAGGAGAAAATGAAACTGAAAGGTGTATGGGAGGTGAGGGGTCGTTGCGGAGAAAGGATAATGTAATATTATGTTGTGTTGGACTGCTAGAGCAAAACAACCCCCAGTAATAGAAACAAATAGTCGAGTACTCAGCAAGCTGGTGTCTGTTGGGGACCAAAAACGTGAGTCAAGATTTGGGTCGACTTGAGCTGAAGCTGACCGCTCAAAACGTCAAAATCAAAGCAATCTAACTGGTTGCTTCAAGAGTTTCTGTTCACAGGTTGATAGGCCCTAATTAAGTTCAAGTTCAAGTTCAATTGGGACCGGAACAGTAGGAAAATCCCGCGAATGTTCCACCTTCGAAAACATCGTTGATCCAACAGGGAAACCGGTGCCTTGATGTGCCAAAGGAGAGCCAAATCAACACACACGATTCATATGGTCAACCAAACAATGCCCACGTGCCCTGCACTAGCAGTCCCCGCTGTGCCGGCCACGTGAAGAATAAAAGAAAACAGTAGTGTCAGTAAAGAAAAGAAAACAGAGGAGAAGACAAGCTAATCGAATATCGTAGGCAATATTAAGATGTAAGTTAAAATGAGTTAAAGAAGCGTAAGCCGTAATAGACGAAGAAAAGTTTAAGACACGAAGGGGAAGACTTTAAACTGCAGACCGAGAGCGTCAAGTCGATGCTCGAACTCTTTCAACGTCGGTGCCATCACGACGTCTGCAGGCAATGTGTTCCAATAAGCTATAACCCTACGCGATAATCTAAAAGTTGCCAAAACCCGGTCAGACCGGGGTTTGTGCAACTTTAATGGGTGGCCACGAAGGGTTGGCATTCGAGTTGGGCGAAACAGTCCAGTCAAATCAGGACCAATCTGACCCATCAATATACGATATGTAAGGACCAAGTCGCCCCGAAGCCGCCTGTAATACATGGAAAACATATCCAACTTACGTAGCCTCTCCGGGTACGTCAGCTTCTTTAAGTCGTACACCATTTTCGTCCCGGACCGCAGGACTCGTTCAACTGCCATCTTATCACGAACCAGGCATGGAGGACAAGCCTGGACGCAGTATTCCAAGTGCGGCCTTACAAAAGCCGAAAATAGTCTAACAAACATGTCGGTGGTCATGATCCCGAATGACCTGCGGATCATCCACAACATGTTGAAGCCTTTACGAGCAGCTGTCTTCCAGTGTTCACTGGACTTGAAGTCAGATGACAGCAAAACACCGAGGTCAGATTGGAGTTGAACTCGCGGTACCTCGTTGCCGCCAAGCAAATAACGCGTCGGCGGGTCATTCGGACCAACGCGTAGAACGGAACATTTCCCTAAATTAACTGGCAACTGCCACAAAATTGACCAGTCCCAAAGTCTATCCAGAGCCTCCTGTAGGGTCAGTGGACCAATCGGCTCGTCTATCGTGAACCAGAGTTTTAAGTCATCCGCAAACATTAGGGATGGCACACCTAATTCATCAGGTAGGTCATTGACGTATAAAGTGAAGAGAAGGGGGCCAAGAACCGAACCTTGCGGCACGCCACTGAGAACACATTGGCGGAAGGACAAGCTTGAACCCACCCGCACACACATTTCCCTTCCGATTAGGAAAGCTGAAATCCATCGTAAGACTGGCCCAGAAATACCAAAGGAATTCAGCTTGTACAAAAGGCGCGAATGTGGAACGGTGTCAAAAGCTTTGGAAAAGTCAATAAACAGCACGTCCACTGCCTTCCCGCAATCAACGGCTTCGGCCCAGTGTTCACGAGCCGTTAACAAGTTAGTAAGGCAAGAATAGCCCTTACGAAAACCGTGCTGAGAAGGATTAAGCAACTCAAACGCTTTCAAATGTCCTTCGAGAGCGTCCCTCACGAGCTTTTCCAATAACTTGACCAGCACGCTCGTTAAACTGACCGGTCTATAGTTATCAGGGAGGTGCTTATCACCTTTCTTAAAAATGGGGCAAACAATAGCCTCCTTCCAGTCCTTGGGTAGAGAGCAGCCTCGTAGAGACTTCACAAAAAGATGCGTAATCGGAGAGCAAAGTTCATCAGCCAACTCGTACAACAGTTTGGGATGAATAGCATCTCCACCAGCAGCTTTATTGGGATTTAATTGCCTCAAAAGCCGGAGCACTTGAGCCTCGGTTATAGAAACCTCCTCCAAGTGGGAGCCCTCAGGAACTTTTGCCTGGAGACTGATATGCGGCGGCTGTGACTCTCTAACATAAACCCCAGCATACTGTTCTCCGAGCAAACAAGCTTTTTCATGATCCGTGACAACAGCAGTGCCGTCCGGGCCAAACAACACTGGGATGCACGAATTCATGTTGCTTCGCCTTTTGACATAAGCGAAGAAGCGTTTCGGGTTTGATGAGGCTATACGAGCAAGCTCTACTTCATGCTGTAGACGGGCACCACGTAGATACTGCCTGCAGGCATTTCGAACCTCACGATATCGCTTGAAGGTGCATAATGAAGGAGCAGATAAGTAAGTACGCCAACATCTGGCACGTCTGTTAAGTTGTTTGCGTACAGCAGAATCAAACCAGGGTGGCTTTGCCCTAGTTTTATTCCTGCCAGATAGTGGTATATGGGGGAGAGAGAGCTCACTCAAGTATGATTTAAAGCTGTCCCAGGCCGTTTGAATGTCGTCACTTTCCAAAATGACACAAGGCGACTTTGCGGCTTTGGCTTTCATTGTCTGAAAGTCTGCGCGCCATATATTTGGTACTCGGTCGGGATGATCATTCGTCTGACGACGAAGGGCGCACTTAAATGAGAGACATGCGTGGTCGCTAGCACCGAAAGGTGAGTTGTATACAATATCGGTGACAAAATCAATGGATTTAGCGAAGATCAAGTCCAAGAGGGACGGGTTTTGACCCATCATGAATCTAGTAGGCCGATCGACAAATTGGTGCAGGGAAGCATGCAAGGCCAGCTCGAGAAGCTCGGTAGCCAAACACCTTGTAACAGCGTCGCAGGAAAAATTCTGCCAGTCAACGTCGGGAAGATTGAAGTCCCCCATCACTAAACACCTATTTGCCGAATGCTCGCGGATGAAATCAGCAAGCCCCTTAGCAACGCTGTCGGGGCTTCTGTAGACCAGCACAATTTTAAGTTGCGCGGAGGCAATACACAGGTTAGCTGCGAGTGCCTCAACATCACCCTCTGATGATCTGAAACTATACGTCTTACAGACAGTAAGTTCGGAGTTAACGTACAAAACAACACCACCTCCGCGCCGATCAGAGGTGCGGTCACATCTCAGCAGTGCGTAGCCTGGCAAGCACACTTCACTGTCCGTGACGTCGGTGGACAACCACGTTTCAGTGAATGCGAGGACATCTGGACGGCAGTCGTCGACAAGAGCGCCGACTTCGCACAGCTTGTTTCGCAGGCTACGCACATTGCTTAAGATCACCTGAAGGGATTTAACATTGTGAGTCCGGGATCGTGCGCCACCAGAACCGGCTCTGGTAGGGCGGAAGTGGACCGCCGGCTCACCACCCGAAAACCCACCAAGCGGAGACCCTTTTCTCCTGCTTCACGGCGGGCTTTAAGATCCTTCACAGCTTCCCGCAATTTCAGCCTATCCGCCAAAGGGAGGTCTGGGTGCACAATGACACCAGTGCCCTTGAGCTTAAAGGCGAAACGCAGAAGTGCTTGGCGCTCCTCCGGAGTGGACAGAACAACTCGCAACAAGCGAGGGCGAGACTTGTCGGCTGGCAAGTTACCGAGTCTGGTTAGTTTGCGCACAGTCACACCGGGGAAGCCGGGAGGCAGGAGTTTGGTAATGCATACTCTAAACCACTTAAGGTCATCTAGCATACGGTCTTTTGGGAGAACAGCAGAAGACTCAGTGGCGTTTCTGAAAATAACACTGCAGTCGGTATACGAGTCTCCGCGACGCGGAGTATTTACCGAACGCTCCATGGACGTCGGTGGTTTCAGTTTAGTGTCCGTTTTTATAGACTCTAATGTCGTAGATGTTTCCAGTTGCAACGATTCCGTAGTAGTAGAATTTGAGGGGGGGGGAATGGGCGCCCGACGGACCTCTCATGTCCGCCTTTGGTTTTGCCGCTTTTTTAACCCTCTTTCGCCTTCTTTTGACAAGGGCAGAAACCTGCTGCTCTCCTTCGCTAACAGCCGAATCAAACACACTGTCTGAGGGCTCGTTACTAACAAGGTCTTTGCTAACAGGTAAACTGACATTCGACAGTAAACAATCAGATGCAGGATCAGACAACTTGCCAGTGTCTTCTACTGTCTCCTGACAGAGAAGACCTGAGCGTTCTAGGCCCTGCACAATCCATTCAACTTTCCTGTCTAACGAGACAATCAGAGACAACAAACTTTCCAAAGAAACAGGACTGCTCTTTACTGGCGTGTAACGCTCAGTCCTGGGCCTACAACAGTCATTACAACGGTAGAGTAAACTCTCGCTACTGGACAGAAGAGCGTACTGTCTACGATCCAAGCCAGTACAGGCCTTATGGAACCAACGGCTACAGATATCGCACTGCATGCCCCCGGACGAATCTGTAACCGCTTCTAGACAACCCACTTTACCACACATGACCACAGAGTCGTCAGAAGGCGGACACGGCGAGTTTAAGCAGCGCTTGACAACCATCGTGACGGAGAGGGTTCAGAGAAAGAATTGAATGTAATAGATAAGAAGCAAAGATGTGAACCGGATTACGGTGACAACTTATGCAAGCGACGAGAGCACCAATCGGAACGACCAAGTGTGACACGAGTGTATTGGAATGAACTCACCAAGTCACAAAGCCGAAGTGGACTCCAGGGATATAACAACAGGACCTTTGCGAGGGAGCAGAGGCTGACACACGGATAACTGAAGATACACTGATCAGTGCGACCAAGAATTGAATCAAGTAAATCCGCCTTTGACGAATGGAAAAGATCGCACAAGAGGCGAGGTAGCTCGATAGCGTACAGTGGTCAAAAGACGGGTAATGACACAGTGACTCGCTGACAACAACGGAACAAAGACCAAATTTACTAGCAGGCAAGTTCGCCGTTGGAGCTGGGCGAGATTGAAGGAACGAAGCTTTTTCAAGCCCGTTTGAACCACAAGAAACACAAGGTCAAGCTTTTTGGTCAGTGTTATTCAACACTATTTCCACAAAAGGCTTCCGAGAAGGAAAACTCAAGCGGTGAAACACGACAACCACGCCGTGACAACGGAAGGCACACAAGTAATTCCGAGTACGTTGGAACTTCAAGTACTTTCGGATCACAAGAAAACTGACAAAGCCAAATTTTCTAT